GCGAGGTCGGAAGACTGGTCGCCCATCAGTCGGTGGAGACGTTGAGTGGTAGAGCTTGAGGTCTTGAGAAAAACTTCGCTAATTGTACATGTTTCGGTAGGCAGAGGAAGAGGGGGCAGATGTTATAACGGTGACTACAAAATGCTCATTCTAACGAGCAAACTGAATTTGTTTTCAGATTCTTCATCTTCCTCTTCTTCATCATCATCGTCGTCGTCCTCATCGTCGTCTTATTCCACCTCCTCATCGTCGTCATCCTCGTCTTCAAGGTCTCGTTCCTCGTCTTCGTCGTCCTCATCATCCTCATCAGTTTCGAGGAGGAGAAACCGCAAGTCACATGGTAAAAGTCAAAAGTTAATTCCTGGATATTATGAATTCCCTGAGTAAACTTTAGCTTCCCTCCAAAATTCCGAAATTGTATGATGCCGCCCATGCCCGTTTAACCTTCCAGTAATTTTCGCAATTCAATCCTCAAATGCTATTTATTCCATATTTAACCGTACAACATCCTCCACCTCCGCCACTGTCGGTTGCTCTCGAGGGCTCCAAAATTATTAGCCTTTTCTATTATTCTGGGCTGTTGAGGAGATCAACACCATCAAGCCTCCACTTACAGAAACACATGTGAACTCCTCCTATAGGTCGAAGTGATCATAGACGAGGCCACTCCAGACATGTGCACAGCAGGCATTCTCATTTCCACCCCAGTCGCAACGATTGGCACTACTCCGGCCGATCCATGGAACCAGATCCCATTGCTGGTGAGCTGATACACGATCGGTAACCTTCATTAGTTAATCGTCGAGATCCCATTTCTCTTAAGATAGAAATAGTTCCGCCATCGAAAGACAACAAGAGTAAGTTGGAGCTCTGACAGCGACCATATCCACTGCCACTTCCACTGTCCCAGCTTATAAGCTTGCTTGTCTTTACAACCGTTCTTACTTCATAATGCTTTTTTTGTTTTGTCATAATACACTTCGGCATAAGGCATATAAATGTTTTAAGAACCATACTTGCAATTTAATTTGGGCTCACCACTTGAGACGCTCCTTGACTTTGGC